CCCGTGGGTCTGTGCCTACTTATCTTTATGATGCTCCTCCTGTGTTCTAGTTGTGTTAAAGTTCCCTCTAAGCAGCTCTCCTGGGCTGGATTCTGCGGAGTCCCTCTGGTACCTGTCACTCCGTCGCCATCTTCCCGGAAGTCGGGTATTCTTGTTTATAGGTGCCTTGCCATCAGCTCCTACTCATAGAGCTGTTATCTATTAGAGAGAAAGACATTTCCCAGTCCTGTTCAATCCTTACCACCATGGAAATATTTGACCACATTACTGCAGTCACTGAATCAAACCACCTTAATGAGGGTCTCTGTCTTTTCTGCTGATTCTTTACTTTACCAAGCACGATGCCCTTCACTCTGCTTCATCTCTTAGGAAGACATGTCCAAAACCAAAAAATGAAATCTTGCCATCACATTTCTGAAAAGAATTTTGGCTGCATTTCTTCCAAGACAGATATCTTGCATTCTCTTGGGAGTACGTGGTATATTCAATATTCTTGTCCTAACCATAATCCAAGTGTATTCATTCTTCTTCCATTTTCCTCTCTTATGGTCCAAACTTTCCCAGGATTATGAGGCAATAGAAAAGACCAGGAATGAGTCAGGAATACTTTGGACATCCAAGTGACATACTTTCTTTCTGAAACTTTGGAGAGTAGGTATACAAAAATACAAGTGGAACTCAGATTATGAAGATTGTGGATAGTTAGGACAAATACGTGGAGGAAATCTGGGATTTAATATGCTATTTGCCTGCTGTGCATCAATAATCATGCTACACCATTCACCTACAGCAATTTATATAATCCCTATGCAACAGATGTTATTAGTTTTTTGATCTTCTAGATGAGCAAATGGAGACAAGTGGATTGAGCAAACAACACCAGACAACTTTATGGTTAAAGGCTGAGACACCTGTAAACTTAAATAATTTGGTTTTTTTTAATCATTTCTGGTATTTTATACCCTGAAAAAGTTTCAGAAACTTTATTTTGCTTATCTAGAGACTAGAAAATAGAATAAAAAACTACATTCATGTAGAAGAGAAACTTAGGGATTAATATGCCTGTTTGGTGCCATCAAAAGGAAGGCTGAAAAAAGAAAACTGACTTCAAGTGACACCATATCCTTCGGCCACATGCTAGCCTCTCTTCCAGAAAGCACAACAGTGTCTCCTACCATATCTGACCCCAGTCCCAGGACCCTAAAGACCTTTGAAAGGCGGCTCGGTGTCTGAATGCTGAGGGCTTTTCAAATTCAGAACGATATCCTTTTTGGTCCTTACACATGCCTGTCTTCAGATTGGCTGCCCAGACTTCTAATTTCTTCTCTTTCAGATCCAGATTGCCCCCGATGCCAAGACTCAATTTTACAGCTATTACAGAGTTTACTTTCGAAGGTTTCTCCATTTTTGGGTGGCGGCATCGGCTTGTCCTATTTGTGTTCTTTTTGCTCTTATACCTGTTGACTCTGGCCAGCAATGCTGTCATCTTGACAGTTATTCGCCTCAACCGTCCACTGCACACACCCATGTACTTCTTTTTGAGTGTGCTGTCCCTTTCTGAGACCTGTTATACTGTGGCCATCATCCCCCGAATGCTGTCCAGTCTCCTGATCCCCCAAAAAGCGATCTCCCTTCCAGAGTGTGCCACTCAGCTCTTCTTCTATCTCACTTTCGGGGTCAATAACTGTTTTCTGCTCACAGCCATGGGCTATGACCGCTATGTGGCCATCTGCAACCCCTTGCGGTACACAGTCATCATGGGCAAAAGGGCTTGTGTGTACTTGGCAAGTGGATCCTGGAGCATTGGCCTGAGCACAGCCATCATCCAAGTGTCTTCTGTGTTCAGTCTGCCCTTCTGTCACGTCAACATCATTTCCCACTTCTTTTGTGATATTCGGCCCCTAATGAAGATTGCCTGTGCTGACACGACTATTAAGGAGTTTATCACTTTGCTCATCAGTCTGTGTGTCCTGGTTCTGCCAATGGTTCTGATATTCATCTCCTATGTCTTCATTGTCACCACCATCCTGAAGATTGCATCAGCAGAGGGCCGGAAAAAGGCCTTTGCCACTTGTGCGTCACACCTTACTGTAGTCATTGTCCACTACGGCTGTACCTCCTTCATCTACCTAAAACCCAAATCCCAAAATTCCCTGCAGGACAGACTTATCTCTGTCACTTACACTGTTATCACGCCCCTGCTAAACCCTGTTGTGTATAGTCTAAGGAACAAAGAGGTCAAAGATGCCTTGCTCAGAGCTTTGGGCAGAAAATCCCTCTCATAGGAATTGGTCAGCCTCCGTGATAATCAAATGACAGTTTGGTTAAGTGTCAAAGTAAAGGATCCAGAAAGATAAGAAACAATATTAATGCTTCAAATATTTTATCTGTGAAGAACCTGGGAATGTGAGAAATAAAGTGAAACAAGGGAGAAAAGAATAAAAAAAGGAGATGAATGGATTTGCCAGGCTTGATGAATAAATTTACCAAAGTAGATAGAAAAATCAAGTAAGATAATGCATATCCGAGTACCATTCCATAATGTTAGCTGTTGCCCCTGTTGCTCTTACCATCAGGCATTGTTAACCAACAGTAAGAGTGAGCAGAAGAGCATCTTATCACAGAATTTGTGTTATTTGGGCCTAAATTCATTACAAAAACCAGGGGCTCCAAATATAACAGGTTCTCCACTGTGAACACACAATTCTTCCAATGTGATTATTTTACTCTGTTAAAAAATCAATCCCTTTGGGGACTTCAATGGTTGAGTTGAAACAAAATATGTATGAATGATTGGATGTAAGACTGTTTATCTTCTCTCTAACCCTTCACCTAATTCACAATAAGTTTAAAAAAAATAATAATAATTCCTCTTGGGTGGAAGGGAGTAACCTTGAAGATGATAGGCACCCCACCCAGAGACCATCACAACCAAAACTAACTAACCCAGACGTACAGTACGGAAGGCCACTGCCTGCCTTGTCTCAAGACAGGATCTACTTTCAGGTGCAATTCTAGAGATTGCCATAGGATCAGGCTCAAACTCCCACTGAGACTCCATCCTTGCTTGTCTCTTTTCCCTGCCCTATATTGTTTTCCTCGCTTCTTTTCCCCCTGAGAGTACTACCCCAATAAATCACTTGCAGCAGCCAGATCTCAAGGAACCCACCCTATGGGGGATCAGAACTATATCTATGGGGAAATCCCTCAGGCTCTATTCCTTGTGAGCTCTCTCTGTGTCAGTTCCACCTAGGGCAGAAGCTAGTGCATACTGACACTCAATAAGGGTTTATTAAAAGAAGGAAAAAGGAAGGAAGGAAGAAGGGGAGGAAGACTACTAAGTTAGGTATGGACCACTAAAACACAATTAGCATCTGTTGACAGCCTTTCACCAGCTTCACCTCTTATTTAATTTGCTTCAGGCCACTTGACCCCTGTGTTAGTCTGGGTAGACTAGAGAAACAAATTCATGGAGACTCATATGTGAATAAGAAAGAGGTTTATATACAAAAGCGATTGAATATTGAGAAAACATCCCTGCCCAGTCCAGATCAAGTCCATAAGTCCTATATTAGCCCATATGTCCAATACTAATCTATAAAGTCTTCTTCAGACTCATAAAATATATGCAATGATGCTGAATGCAGTAGGATCACAGGCCAGTGGTTTGAAAGTCTTGTGGATCCAGTGGAATTGTAAGCATTTCAGCGCTGGCAGGGGTCTCCACGTGGTTCCTTCAGCTCCAAAACTCTGACTGCCTCAGTGTAGCTTCATGTGGCTTCTCTCCAGAAATGGCTTGCAGGCAGTGAACTTTGTCAGTAGAGAGTCTCCAAGGGAGTGAGCCTAGAGAGAGAGTGTCTCAAACTCCAGGAAGGAAAAACTCCAGGGAGGATTTCTCAGAATCCTCAGAGGAAGGTCATGCCCACACAGAGCCCTCCGTGGCTATTCAATGATTGACAGGCTAGACTCCACCCCTTCACTTGTAATCTTTTCAAATTGACAACAGATTATATAACTATCACAACCCCCTTTGTGACATTCCCCCTCCCTTTGGCACACTTTATTCATTAAATTATCCTTATAAATTTATGGGGTAGCCATATTTTTTATCCGTATTTTACAGATGAGAAAACGGAAGACCCAAAGTGACTTTCCCAAATTTACATAGCATCTGAGTAGCAAAGTCAGACATCGAATCCTATTAGTTACATAAGTAATCTCATAAGGATTATTTTTTTACCAAAACCTTTTTTTTTTAAATAATTGCAAACTAGGATAAAAAGGAATTTCTCCCAAATTATGGATTTATCCATATCTCAAATCTATTAAGGTTGTCCTTAGATATCAAAATAATCCTGAAAGTTAAGGCATTGTGTGCTATATTGTAATAGACTTTATTCCTTGAGTTTCATAGTGAATCCTTTCTCCATTTAGCACAGCCCCAAAGAGAGAAAGGAATAAAATATAAAGTGGGCCAATGACAACTTCTTAATGATAAGAGTCAGGAACATTAGATGATTAGCTTCTGTATGTGTCCTCTTTCCCACACTTGTTAACTCCAACCTCATTCTAAGAACTGATAGACTGAAAGTAGAAGACAGTTACCATAAAAACCAAATCCTGCCTCTGAGGCAATGCCAACTCATAGTGATCTTACAGGACAGAGTAGAACAGTTTAGTAGAGTTCCCAAGACTACTTTGCTATGGTAGCAAACAGAGTCTTCATCCCTGGAGCAGCTGGTATGTTTAAACCTTGCAGTTAGCAGTTCAGTGCTTAACCCACTACAACTCCAGGACACCTTAGGACAGTGTTTCTCAACCTGTGGGTCACGACATCTTTGGGGATCAAATGATCTTTTCACAAGGATTGCCCGATTCATAAAAGTAGAAAAATTACAGTTATGGAGTAGTAATGAAAATAATATTATAGTTGGGGTGCCAAAGCAACATGAGGAATGGTATTAAATGATGCGGCATTAAGAAGGTGGAGAACCACTGCCTTAGGAGATACTCAACCAAACCAATCAAACCCACTGTACATGAGTCAATTCCTCCTCTTAGCAACACTATAAAGGATTTATGACGCTGTAAGTACAGGAGCAGTAGCTGGTGGGTTTGAAACAACTTATGCTTAATTTAAGCAGTGTGATTTTACAGTGCCTAGATTTTGGAGCAAGGGAGGCAGTGTCCCAATCCTTGGGCTGCCATTATGAAGTGCATGTTCCAGAGAAAGTTATTGAACTTTGGTTTCTATCTTCCCAGTGGGCTTGATATGATCTGCTTTGCAGGGTTATGGGGAAGTGTTAGCAAAGCTATGAACATGACGTTCATTGGCAAATGGGAAACAACCCCAGCTGCTGGTGTCTTTTCCATTCTTACCTCTCCCCACAAGCACACACACATTGCTCTGGATCTCACTCTTCAGTCAACATCAAGTCTCTCTTATTACAGACACAGAACACTCATTAATACGCACAGATTCTCAGGAGAGCCTGACTTTCTAAATGAATTTCCCTCGTAGTCCCTGTTTCCATTTTTCAGTTAAAAAAAAAATTCTCAGACATAATTACCTCCTAGCTGCACTGTCATGATTTACTAAACCACCCAGCTGTCTATTTGTATTTCTGCTCCACACTCCCCCCCTGTATGCTCTACCCACCTACTAGGTCACCTGCCACTTCTCATAGCATCATTCTCGTGTTGCCCCTAGTTTGTTTATGAGTCATTAGAAGATGGCTTGGGATTCACCAACGTTCATATGCTTGCTGAATAAATATGCACACAAGCATGTGCAACTATTTTTTAATGTGCCACAGTTCACTTGGAAACTCCAGTTACTAAATTCATAATTCTCTTCCTCATAATTCATGTTTTTCTACCAATAAATTCCAGTAGCACAACCACTGCCAAGCAGGAATCTATGAAATATTTTGAAATTGGACAGGAATTGTCACACACAGAATGGTTGAAGACCTCAGCATCGAGTGACAGGGATACATGGAGCGGGGCATGAGCACGGGAGTGAACAGAACTTTAGCAGCACTGGTGACCCTCATTAAAGCGGTTGTGAGCTCTACCCAGGGCTCAGGGAGACTCCTACAAAGAACTCCCAAACACCATTGGCACTAGTCTCCTGAACCAAACTGATGCCGCTGAGGAACCACGGTAAAGAGCTACTATTATCTAAACCACAAGTAAAGCAATCTTCAAAATCAAGGGGGTTTGCCACTGGTTCTGATTGCTGTTTACCTACCTATCTTTCTATAGTCACCTTGCTTAAGTTCATTGCTATCACAAAATTCCAATCTATTTACTGTTGACTACAGTGCTAGCGACTCATACAAATACTGTTGACTACAGTGCTAGCGACTCCTACAATAGTACTAACTTCATAGGGGGTTGATTGGAGGATTAAATGAGGCGAGCAATTCCCCAAATGGTCAGTAAATAAGTAAAATAAATTGTACTTGACTTGGAAGCCAAATATTTCTCCGTTTCCACTAGGCATCACACTTATTGCCACCTACCCAGTGGCCTAGTTCCAAAATCTTCCTAATTTCTCTCAGTGCGATGCCGTTGTACTAAATTTAGGTATTTTGCCCAACTCTATGCACTTTTGCTTCAGAAGCCATGGCCACCAATCCCATCTAATAATTGGCAATTAATATAGAGATAATTTCCTCTGATTCATTCGTTACAATAGGAAGCTCTACATATTTGTGAATAACCAGGGGATTCACATAAATGAACCTGCTGGGGGTAGTTTATGAGATTATTCGCTCTTTCCTTTCCCTTGATCCACTCATTGATTCAGTTATAAGCTTTGCTGATTTTCTTCAAATATTTCTCACATCTGTCCCTTCTCTCTGAGCCCATTGCAACCCTCTAAATCAATACCAATGATCTACAGCCTGGTCTGTTATAGCAGCAGCCTAGCGCGTCTCTTCTCATCAATCTCAAATAGGTCTTCCTCTTTCTTCCAGATCAATCTACCAAATCCCAGTGCTGAGAATGCCTTTTTCTAGAAAAGAAGTAAACGTACCAGATAAAGAAGAAAAGGGTTAAAGGTGGCTGTAATAAAGTTCATTTCCTTAAAAGGCCATTATTAAAGGATTTTGAAGCTCAGGAATAGGATAATAAAATGTAAATCATGTGGTGTGTTAGTCTGGGTTGAGTAGAGAAACCAATCCAGAGACACTCATAGGTGTATAAGAAAAGAGCATTATATAAGGAGTAATTGTATATTAAGAAAACATCCCAGCCAAATCTACATCAAGTCCATAAG